TGTCAGGCACTGTCCTGGGCACAAGGTATGGAGTGGTGAGCCACTGAAATCCCCCCACATCCTTGATTAGTTATATGACTGATAAAGAAATACAAGCTCCAAATAATAATAGTAATCACTCCCTTGCATTTTCTCTCCCCTTCCTGACAAGGAAAGCAAAGTTATTTAATACTTAGTGAATTCCTTTTATGAGCAAAGTGCTGAATATTCCCTATCTTTTTTAATTCCAAAGTTATCCCATATGATATGTAATATCACCTTTTTTGTACACAAGGGAACTGAGGTTCCAAGAGGTTAAATAGTTGCTTCAAGTCAGAGGCTGTGAGCAGTAGACGCGAGATTGTTTCCCACTGCACTAGACTCTCTTTACCACCAATAGAGACACCACAAACTCAAAGGCAGTTCAAGAATTACATAATCCAATTTACCAGGAACACCTCAAGCACATGAGAGTAATATTTCAAATGATAGATAGGAAAGGCTGAGTGAAAACAGTGATACACTGGCAAATCCTGCCCCTTTGATGTGTATTTCCATGTAATACAAAAACAGCTCAGTTTTCACCCATCTTATTTTTTAAATCAACTTTATAAAAACCTGCCTAATAGGACTCTTCCTTTCCCTTTATTACTCTGTTTCTCTCTTTTCACAGCCATGATGTGAAAACTCAGTCTACACTCACATCCATTGCTGGTGTCCTGCATTCTGGCTTCCACTAAAAATGCTCCCAGTGAAGCCCCAAAGGACCATGTTCTCAACAAATGCTGTCGATACATTTTGTTCCTAACCTTTTGGACAGTACTGCCTCCTTTTTGAAACTCTTATCTTCGCTTGCTTGGCATTTGTGATTCAAATCTATCTGCTTTTCTAGTTGCTTTTCTGACTTCTCACGCTCCCAGTCTTTTGTCCTTCAAGGATGATGTTTCTCAGAAATCTTAATCACTCTCTTCGTACTCCTTGATGATCTCATTTTGGTTCAAGTCCTCAAAATTCCTTGAAGGTATCATACCTTTGTCTCCTATCTGGTTTTTCTGCCTCTAAATCCAGTCCTTCCCAGTTGCTTCACGAAGGCTCCAGGGCATCGGTGTCCCTGTGGTTACAGAAACATTCCACGTCCACAGCATCTGATACCTGTGTGCTATTGAGCGACCTGAAATGTCACCAGTGTGCCTGAGAAGCCGACGTTCCAATTTTGCTAAATTTTAATAGTACTTATTTTCCTTTAAATAGCGAACAGTGTGAATCCGGAGTGTTCTTTAAACACAGATTTATTTGGAACACAGCTTTTTCAAGATAAACCCATTCTCCTTAGCTTAATACGTGGGGCCTGAAAAAGTCAGCTGCCCTCCATGTCTGGCCCCACCACTCTCCTCCCACCTCCTACGACTGCTTTCAAACTCACACACATCCCGCAGTCTGCCACACATATGTATCACACTTACGAAATTAGTTTGTACCACACCCCACGCCTCCTTCCCTGAGCACGCTTTCCCTCTCTTCCCCATCCGGCTACTCTTCCACCAAGGAGCTGCTCCACTGGCCTCCTCACCGTTCCTTGGGCCTCCCTGGCACCTCTCCCAAAGGTGCACTGTGCTCTCCAGAAGCCACCACGATCCACGCTGCTACAACATGTTTATCTCACTGTACAGGGAGCTCCTTGAGGGCAAAAATTCGATTATTCTAATGATATCACTGGTATCTACCAACTATTTGCAAATGGCTGCCCAATACCAACGTCAAAGGTAGCTACTAGGATCAACTTCAAACTTCATCCCTGTTACTAATTAGATCACATTCAAACCCTTCATTCAGAATCTTCCAGCCAAGGGATCTGTCCCACAATAAGTCCGTTCAGAACACTTTTCTTTTAGCTGGCCTCTCTTTTTACATCGTCTACACATGATTTAGACATTCTTCATCTCTCTCCGTGTCTCCTTGGCAATTTCTACAAGGATTGCCCCTTTATTTCTCTGCCATCTGGGTTTATTACTTTTGTTGAGAACCATGGAAAAGTTCACCCCAACCAAGAGCCTTCCCTGGCTAATCTCAAACTAACCCAACTCCACCTGCACGCACCAGCAGCTCTGCATGCCCTGGCTTGCTGATAATCCTGTGTCATTTCTTGCCTGCTGTCTTCTGAACTAGTCAGTCAATTCTTTAAGGGCAAAGCCTGACTCCTCTGCTTCCTTCTTTCCCCGCAGCATTCTCTACCATGCTGTGCATTTATCGGGCACTTAGAAAACATATTAAAGGATGTATGAAATCTTAAAGATGTCAAGTTTGCTTTTTCTATAAATTCCAAAATAATTACTCTTAACTCTTGCATTTTCAACACCTCAATATGTGTCTTAATTTTTAAGTAGCATCTAGATATTAAAATAAAACTGAAGAGTAAAGTAAATAAAAGCCATGGAGCTTTTTATCTCATAAGAAGGAGAGTATAATATAATTTTTTAAAAAAAATACTGCTAGAAAGGCACAGCCCACAATGCTGGGAACTCCGTATTCTACCGCAGTGACAGGAATAATGTTTTGAAATTAAAGACCTGGGCACCTTTAAAAACCAAAATGATAAAACGTTAATCACTGTTTTTCAACTCTCACAGGCTAGTTTCTACCAGCTGTGGAGTCAGAATCGAAAATCAGTGTTTTATCAAGTGATAGTGACTACCATCGCTGTGACGGCGACACCTGTGGACACGTGCACACCAGCAGGATGAGCATCGGAGAGATGGCTGGGCCACGATCTTGCCTGAATGGGGCTGACACATGAAGTATAAAACCCCAGCTAACGGATGTCAGCACTTTGAAACTATAGTTTCTCTTTTGATATTAGAATACTACACAGAAGCACCCATTCCGTTATACTACTTAGATGCTTAGTTTTTAATCTTCAGATATGTACTTAATGTTTAATTCTCCTTCCCTACTTTACTAATACTACTTTAGGTAACATCGAAAGAAGATCCCATCCTCTTTCGATGTTACCTAAAGTAGTGTTGTGTTACCTTATGTGTTACAGGTCAAGGAAGAGATCCTATAAACACATCAGACCTTAACATGGACAAAATAGCATGTGGCATTTAAAGTTGTGTTCTCTAGAAATACAACAAAAAAGCAGTCTTTCAAATTCTTGTAAGGGCATGAACTGCTTTCTACTTTTCAATGTTTAGTGAATTCAGTTATATATTGAGGTCACGGATCTTCATTAAAGTTAATAAACAATTTACTTAATAATATAATCATTTGAATGTATCAAATGTTACAAGATTTAATTACAGAAATTAACAAGGAAAACTAACAGCGTGTAATTATATCATTTTTCTAGATGTCAGTAGCTGAAATAGCCTTTGACTGAAAAGTGAATTAAGAAAAATTACCACTAACATAAGAGCCAAGGGAATTTTAATCCTAATTTATCTTTTATAAGACATTTAGTGGCCTTTTCCAATTCTTACTTTAGACAAAATTTTCTGCCTTACTACTACCTAATTTTGTTTCAGAGGGTTACTTTTCAAAACCCTTCAAAACATTTACAATGTAACTAGCCCACAAATTGCAAAGCTGTATTTCCTTTACTTGAGTAAATTCATAAATATGAATCAAGTATTTATAAAAGTAGCAATAATCCCTGTTTATCATATAATAAATGTAATCGTGCTGGTATAACTTACTGGATGCTTACCATGAGCCACACACTGTGTCAAGCACTTCACCTCATTTAATTCTTTTAATAATCTTATTATATAAATATTGTGATTATCCCTCCTTTCCAAGGGAGGATATTGAAGCTTAGAAAAATTAATTTACCCAAATGTGGTTCCAAATGCCCATCTGATACAAATCCCTAAATTCTTCTTCTATCAGCTTATAGAAGTCTGAATAGCTTATTTTTAGAATGAATGAAGCAATATAATCACCAAATACTTTCTAAGATCCAAGTACTGTCCTAGGTTCTGAGGAAAGAGTGGTGATGTTATTTAAAAAAAAAAAAAAGGAAAGAAAAGAAATCCTTGTATTAAGTGAACATACATTCTGACAGAGAAATACAATATGTATGCATAATCTAGAGTGCACAATAAATCAGACAGTGGCAAACACTATGAAGAAAATTATCGCAGATGAATAGGATGGAGAGGGTCATGGGTTGGGTGCTAACTTGGACAGGGGTCAGCATGTCTATAGACATTTCCTGTTTCTCACACCTTTTTCTCATGGACTCTCCATCCCCACTTCCTTACCTTCCCTCAAATCCAAAACCAAAGTTAGATAAGTAATATTGACAATTCTAAGGCCAAATTCTGGTTGCAAATCCCAGAAGATTTAAGTTGAAAAAAAGAAACAGCGTTAAGGAGAGTAGAATGAATGGATATTTTTCTATATCTAAAAAAATATATTTTCAAAATTACTTTCCAATTAGATAACCAAACTTTAATCAAATCATTTCTAAAATGTGTTTTACCTCTACTCACCCTTCATATATATCCATTTTCAACATGCTTTTAATAGAGAAAGAAAAGACCTTACGTGTTTTTACCATTTCTATTGACAGTTTTTTGGACAGTTCTGTGTCTCAGGAAGAAAAGCCCTTCTTCGCCAATGGTCTGAACAATAAAAGCCACCCAACAGTGCAAGACTGGCCGCTTAAGATAAATCTGAAACTCCCTGGACTCTACTACAACAGCAACGACTAATCACCCCTCCAACGCAGACGTTGTGAAAGGGTGAAACTCCACGGGGGATTGGAGAACCTTACAGTAAACCAAGCCCCAGGCTATTGTTGTTTAAGACAAAGATTATTGTAAGACTTCAGTTAGTATTGACATTTTAAGAAAAACTTATCTGTCAACCCAGACCATGATAGGTAATTGTGAAACTTGTATAATGTCCCAAATTTGGACTTGCTCCTACAAATATAATATTTTTTAGAAAACCTAACTGCCTATTTCACTATTTCAGAGTCAGAGATTTAACAGTAGTACTACATTCATTCGTCTTACCTCTGCTGCTAAATAGTTTCCAGTTGCGAGATGTTTAAATCTGAACAAGCTGTTCCACTGTCCTGCACCCCCACGACATGGGTCATGATGAACCACCTACAGACAAAAAGAGCAATGACAATAATAGCTAAAAGATATTGATGTACCCGGCAAGCAGATGCCAACAGTTTATACAGAGTGCCTGCCTATTAATGCTCACTTGGCAAATCTAATATGTTTTCATAAGAGGACAAGGCAGAAAAACAAAATTCCCCATAAATGAACAAAGCACGTAACAGTAAACTCACTGTTCATGCATTATAGCTGCAAAGGCAGCTCTATTCCAAAAGACATTTTCCCAGACCCAACATGGAAATGTGGTGGGGTTTTCCCCCATTTGTTATTCAAACACTCATTCAAAAGGCAGTATTAAAAACCTATGATATGCCAGTTAATCTTCTATACAGTAGGGACACAGCAATAAATAAGACTAGAGCTTTCAGTGAATAAGATTTGGTAAGTGCCAGAGGAAGTAAACAGAGGTCATGATCAAGGAGCGAAGGAAGGCTACCTTAGACATGATGACCAGCATGGACAACCAGCATATGACAATACATGCACACAGCATGAGGACATGATGTGTGAGCTGAACCCAGAGGCTAAGACTGAGACAGTCATGCGGAGAGGTTGAAAGAGATCATCGCGGGCCGAGAGAACCACAGATGCCCAGGCCTGGAGGTCTGGGCTAACTTAATTCCTGGCCCTTTCTTTTCTATTTTTCTTTTTTTATAAATTTAATCTTCAATATTTTTTTTCCATTACCGTTTAGTCCCCTTATACCTCTCACCAGCCCCAGCAATCATCACACTGTTGTCCCTGTCCATGAGTCCTTTTTCCTTTTTGCTTGATCCCTCCACCCCCAAATCTCCCCCCCACCCCACAAGCTATCATCTGCTCTCATCTGAGTCTGTTTCTGTTTTGCTTAATTCAGTTTGTTCCTTAAACTCCACAGGAGTGAAACCATATGGTATTTGTCTTTCTCTGACTGGCTGATTTCACTAGCATAATGTTCTCCCCGTCCATCCGTAAGTGTTACAAAGGGTAAAATTTCTTTTTTATGGCCAAGGAGTATTCCATTGTGTAAATGTCCCATAGTTGTTTTATCCACTCATCTGCTGATGGACACTTGGGCTGCTTCCATATCTTGGTAATCGCAAATAACGCTGCAATGAACATTAGGGTGCTTATCTTCCTTCAAATTAGTATTTTGGGTTCCTTTGGATATACTCCCAGAAATGGAATCGCTGGGTCAAAAGGCAGATCCATTTTTACTTTTCCGAAGTCTCTTCCTATTGCTTCCCACAGTGGCTACACCCGTCTGCGTCCCCACCAATGGTGCACCAGGGCCCTTTTCTCCACAGCCTCGCCTGCACTTGTTTGATTTATTGATCATGGCCATTCTGACAGGTGTGAGACGGTATCTCACTGTGGTTTTTATTTGCATTTCTCTGCTGATGAGTGACGTTGAGCATCTTTTCATATGTATATTGGTCACCTGTATGTCCTTTTTGGAGAAGCGTCTATTCATGTCCTTTGCCCTTTTTTCAATTGGGTTTTTTGGTTTTTGGGTGTTGAATTTTATAACTACTGTATAAATTTTGGATATTAACCCCTTATCAGATGTATCAGCATATATGTTCTCCCATTCTGTGGGTTGTCTTTTTATTTTGTTGATGATTTCCTTTGCTGTGCAAAAGCTTTTTAGTTTGATGTAGTACCATTATTTTATTTTTTTCTTTTCCCTTGCCTAGGAAGATATATCCAATGAAAAACTGCTACCAGCAGTGTCCAAGATTTTGCTGCCTATGTTTTCTTCTGGGATTTTTATGTTTCGGTCAATATTTAAGTTTTTGATCCATTTTTATTTTGAATTTATTCCTGTGTGTGATGAAAGAAGGTGACCTAGTTTCTTTTTTATGCACGTATCTGTTCAATTTTCCTAAAACCATTTATTGAATACACTATCATTAACCTATTACATGTCCCTGCTTCCTCTGTTGAATATTACCTTATAGTCAATTCCTGGCCCTTTTCATGTGCGCTTATCCTAACACCATGTCCTTTGATACCTGTTCTTGGAACTGGTCTTCCCCAGATGCTAAGCCACTAGGCTCATTGAGAATAACAGCAGAAGCTCTGAAAGGGGTGGTTATGATGGTGGCGTTGTGTAGCAGCAAGAGTCAGGTTTTACAGCCTGAAAATGACTGTGTCTGAGTCCCAGCCCTTCCAACTACTATGGTATGATCACAGCAAATAACATCTTCAAGACTGTTTCTTTATGTCCATAGGATTATTATGAAGGTTAAATATCATAAGGCATATCAGAGTGCTAGAAAAACTTTTCATTATTCTCCCTCAATAGGTTACCTTCTTTTTATTAATATTGACCACTTCTGCACCCCTGTCCCAGCCTCATGTTCTGTGTGCTAATATATAACTTTCTAATGACTTTTGTTAGACTCCAGCTTCTATGTCTTCCCCTCCTTCAACAGCTCAAATAAGACAATAATTATGAAAATACTTCAAAGTGGATAAAGTCTTTTTTTTTTATTTTCTGATTTCTGAGAGAGAAAGGCAGAGAGAGAGAGAGAGGGAGGGAGAGAGAGACATTGATTTGTTGTTCCTCTTATTTATGCATTCACTGGTTGATTCTTACATGTGCCCTGACTGGAGATTGAACCCGCAACCTTAGCGTACCGGGATGATGTTCTAGCCAACTGAGCTACCCTCTAGGGGTAGATGAAGTCTTTAAAATCACTCCTCCTATGGCCAAAAACCTGACCATCCTACAAGGCTCAGTTCTCAAATCAAACTTTCATAAATCCTCTGCTAATTACACAAGCAACTGTGACCTTGTCAGTGTGTGAACTCACATTCCCTTGGGGAAGTCATAGGATACCCTTGATTAACAAACAACTGGAAGATCACCACTGATCCCAAACTAAGAGTTATCCTACACATCAGTCAGTCTAGCCATGGCAGTACAGCTCCCTAGAGAACGATTTGGAGCTGCAGAAAGGAAGATGTTTTCATTTATCACAGAACTTAGGAGGGATGCCCTCCACAGTAGCGGGCAGTGGCCAAGATATGACACAGCCTGCAGTTCACAGGAGGGTTCAGCATGTGCCTGCTATTGTGTGTGCACTCAGGGCCATCCCGCCCTTCACCCTCCTACGCTTCCCTGCATTAAAGGGGCCGGAAGCCCAGCTGGTGGGGTTCTGGAGACATCTCATGAGAATGGAAAGCAAAGTAGAAAAGAGGCTCTTCTTCTGGCTCCAGGAAAAAAGATGGCAGCTGCCTGGTGGAGACTTCTACACTATGGGGCGAAGACTTCTACAGTATGGGGTGCGAGCTCCTACTGCATGGGGTGGGTGAGGTCTCATGAGGCACAGGAGGAGAAGCCTGCAGGCTCCCACGAGGGGCAGTAACGGTGACTGCATTGCCAGACCTTCAGAGAAGGCCACTCTTCCCACCCCAGTGTTCACCATCCAGCCCTTCCAGTAACACTGAACCTAATTTCCTACATTAAATAACCTTTTCCTTGAAATACCTGATGCTCAGGCTTCCTGACTGATACAGCACATGTCAGAGAAATGTGTCACAGGCTACCTCTTTCCAGATCTCCTCCAGAAAGAAACCTACCACAAATATGAATTGGTAATACTTTGATATATAATCATACTAAAAAGTTTACATCAAGTTATAGGAACAGTCCAATAATTTAAGAGAAATACACTATGAAGAGAAAAGTTTAAATGAACTCAAGACATCTCAAAATTATTGAGTGCTCAATGGGTTAGAGCCTTTTCAACTATGCATTTTGTTGAAATGGATTTCAGTGTGCAGTGGTACAGGTACAGCAAATGCTATAAAACTAATGGCAAATATGTTAGAAAGAAGATTCAAAATGTCTCTTAACAAATTTAGAGCCAAACGTCACACAGGCAGAGACACATGAAATGCAGGGAAGTCACTGTATAGGGAAGTCACTCTCTAGCCTTTTCATCACTGTATTTCATTAATAAAGTTTCAAATAATATCTCACATTACTGTTATCCCTATTTTTTTTAATTTTTGGAGCACAATGATAAATTTATGGTGTGAAAATGGATATTTTAATTGTGAATTTATTTTCAGGTCGCTTATCTTTCTGCCTTACCAGGGTAAGAGAAGCTGTCAGGCAGAATGCCTGGGTGATGGTGGTTTCCCCAACACCTTCTCAATTCCCTGCCGCCTGCTGAAGGCTTGGCCTCCCCTGCCTGCTACCAATGGCTAGGGTGCCTCCACATGCAGTGGGTTTCAAGAGAGAAGATACGTTCTTTGTGCTAGTCATCTCCATTACAAACCGTGTCATAACCGAGAGAATTATTTTCATGTTACAATTATAATTAAGGCTCATCTCATTTGCATAAACATCATACTTCTTTATTTTCTATTTCAATAGTCTGTAATTAGTGTTATTATCCCTACTTCAATTATGGTTATTTCCTTCTTTTTTTAGTCATGCACAGATATGTCTGTCCTGTTATTACTTCTCCTACTAGATAATTTAAGGTCCACATTTACCTGTGCTCTTTCTTTTTCCTGTACTCACATAGAATGCTGTCGTATCCTCTTCATTTACCACTTCTCTCCTATCTAAATGTGTCCATCAAAGGTAGATATAAATAATATCTTCTAGAATAGATATTTACATGTTTAAATACATATTATTTTATTATAAATTATTTTCCTTTTATTTCTTTATGTTAGAATTGGGTATTTTATTAATTTTTAATCCTGAGACAATACAGATAACATTACCTATGGATTTCATTTTAGAATGTTAAAAGAAGTATTAGGGAATATATTCTATAAAGGCTGAGTGAAGGGTTTAAAGTGGTTGAGAACCACTAGATAAGCCTAGATGTCCATTAAATCAAGATGGAATTTATCAGATGTTGGCTTGGTTAGAAGTAATTATGCATATCTTATCTCTTCCACTGTGTAAAAAGGTTCTTTAAAGAAAACTCCATACCTTACATTTTCCTAACTACTCAACCATATTAGAACATTTAAAAATATTTGTCAGCCCTGGCTGGTGTGGCTCAGTGAATTGTAAACCAAAAAGGTCGCCTGTTTGATTTCCAGTCAGGGCATATGACTGGGTTGCAGGCCAGGTCCCCAGTTAGGGGCATGCACAAGGCAACCAATCAATGCATCTCTCGCACATTGATGTTTCTCTCCCTCCCTTCCACTCTCTCTAAAAGTACATAAATAAAGTCTTTTAAAAAAACACTTTTCAAAGGTTGAATGAATTGTCTGCCATGGATCTCCTCATCCCAATAGAAATAAAAGGCACCCCCAGAAGAGCTAAATGGTCTTGGCAGCAACTGGAGCTCTCATGTTCACTTCGAGTGAGTCATCCTATTCCATCGTAACTCCAGTGCCACTCAGACACATGGCCTTCAGTCTTAACAATCTTGACAACAAACACATCACAATGGATTTTTGAAAAGCAAAATCCTATGTATGCCTGAATTAAACAAGATAGAGAAAGGGAGATGCCCCAAAGAAGGTAAGTAAAGAAAGTAATAACATTTCAAACTGGTCACAGCAATGAAGATGTGCAAGTCAGTTCACAAAAAATTATCGTTTTTATTGGTCTATCATAAACAAAGCCTATAACAATAAAACAATCAGCCTATTAAATCTTGTCTTATTGAAATAAATATTTATTAAAAGCCAAATAATATTTTACACACCTCTATTTCCCAGAGTGCTTTAGAACTCGTAGCAGAAGTAGCTGATTGACGCAAGGTCGTACGAAGGAAAATGTGCTGTTTTTTCTCATATTCATCACAGGTCAGAAATTTCTCTTGTTCTGCATGAAACAATCTAACAACGTCACCCTGGAAAAACAAATCAAGAACACTGTTTCCAAGAAAAGTCTGACCAACATAAGAAATAGGTGTATCTTTCTAGTTTTGATACTCTACTTGGTTTTCAATGATTATTTATACATTTCAAAATATAAAAGGGGAAATTCAAAGAAACACTCTTAGTGAGGTCACAGTCACATTCTAGGTTTGTGACACACTCTAAACCAGCGATTTCCAACTTTTTCATCTCATGGCATACATAAACTAATTACTGAAATCCTGCAGCACGCCAAAACATGTTATATTTTTTGTCAATATGACAAAAAATAGGTAAAATTTTGATTCGTTCATACCAGGAAGCTGTTGTTGTGTTGGCTGCTGTCATTTGTTATTTGACAATCTAAGGGAAAAGAGGTCAGTAACCCTAAGTAGCCAGGTTGTGCATGTTCTAAAAATTCTTGTGGCCGTGGATTGGAAATTGCTGCTCTAAACAATGAATAGCAGTCAATGCCCAGGTTTTACATCTGAAAGGTCAGTAAAAGTACCTTCAGTTCTACCAGCAAACATTCGGACATACTTACTCCCTTCAGCACATCCTCTCGATAGGAACTATATTTCATGAACAAAGTGATTTTCCAGCTAGTGTTGCAATTAACAGCATTCACCTATTAAAGAAGAAATGTTACATTATAAGACAACTGATTCCATGTTATACCAGAAATTATTACTTCATCTAGTAAAAGGAGAAAAAAGATAACTTTGGACCATGGGGTATGTATTTCAATACAAACGTATTCAAAGGACCATCTGAAAACAGCAATAACTAATCATTATCTCTTTGTGCCTTAGGAGTATTAATTAGCATAACTGGCACTAAGCTTATGAAAACAATGAAAGAAACTATATACCTTTCTTTCCTCTCATGAGAAGATCAGCAAGCTCACATCCTTTCCTCCTGCACTTACCTCCTTACACCCTGGGTTATCGAGAAGCTCGATGTTGCTTGCATGCAGTGGCTGTCCTGCGTTCACCGGCATCAGCACAACTTTATCTCCCACAACAATCTAGGAATCAGAAATACATTGCAATTTGAGACACGGCATGCATCTTTGGTGCTATATTTGAAGGTAAAAATAACTACACAAAAGTCTTCCTTATCGACCTAACACCTGGTATGTTTATCCTCCACACAAACTTTTGTTCAATTCTTTTTCTCTTCCAGGCAAACCTCTTCTGATAAATGATCATATGTTCATGTCCCATAGTGCCCATCAGTCTGAATTCATAAAGTTAAAGTAGGTCCTTTCTTAACAGTCTCCTATTTCACTTAGAGCTCTCTTAACATCGATAAATAGGTCATGATTCCCCCACATGCGGTCTTCTGCTGTGAGCGCAGAAGATGCAGAGAGTGAATACATCTGTCACAAAAGCCAATCTGCCTAAATATTAGAACCACTTCAAGTAGAAGTTGATAGTGATATACATTTGTATTTTCTCTGATATCACAAACAGATCTGTTAAATTTGATCTTACCTATGATCTCAGAAATGTATTAAACATTCTAATGTCAGCTGGATTCAGGAAATGCAGAATTCGGTACAACCTTCTAGAACTATGTTTATTGTTTGGGCTTCAGGCATCTGGTTCAATTTTACCTTAAACATCCCAAATCAATGTTGCTCCTTAATCCTGGTGTTCACTTTTAAATAAAAAATTAAAATTGATTATGGGAAAAACTGCTCTAGAAATCATACTAAATTGATTTTTTTATTTATGCTATCATTCTCAACTTTATCTTCAAGTACTTTTATTTATAACTCAAAATGTGGGGAAATTGAGTTATGCTTTCTTAATGATGATAATGAACAGTTTAATTTTATAGATAATAAAGTTACTTTTGTTATTCAGTTCCATTAAAAACTTATTACTCTATTACCTACACTCTCATTTATAGAATTGCTTACCATCGTGGAAATGAAAACAAACACCTTCCCTTTGCAAATTTCATAACAAGTGAATGTTAGAATAAATTAGTTTGATAGACAACTGAAAAACAAATTAGGGCTTAGACCACAACAATAAACAGAACTTCTTCCTATATCTTAACCTAGACCAAAACATTAAGAAATATAATTTCACATTTTCCATATAAACTAACCTTTTATAGATTATATAGCAGCACTTACATTCACATATGGTACTGTTGTCACATATCTGGAGATTGAAGGACAGAGAAGCCTGAAACTCACTAATCAAAGAAAGGAAGGTTGTGCTTTGGTTTGCAGAAATACCTGCTATATATCACCTGCCTTTAAAGTCCATCATCAGTCAGATGATGTGACTCAAAGGGACCCATCATAGAAGCTCTCTATGTATAGATAAGGAAAGGTCAACAAGAAATAGTGTTAAGTTAGAGGTTAAGGGGGCAGCAATGGGCTACTCTTGTCTAAAAAAAAAAAAGGACGGAGGAAATGTATATGCATAAGGAATCCTTCTAGAGGGATGGCCATGGGGCGATGGTAGAAAGGCCAAAGATTTTTCATGATGTATCTTTATATTGTTTTTTATCTTTAAACCATGAACTGACAAGTATTTTTAAAAATTAAATATAAACAAGAACATATAAAAGTCAACATGACATAAACATACTTCCAACATCCTCCAAAAAAAAATTAAAAAACTCGTTATTGCACAGGACACCAAGGCAGCTGTGACTCTCGGAGCCACCAGTCAGTCTGAGGGGTCATCCATTCGACAAACAGGGCTTGATACCAGCGCTACGTCTGGTCTTCCAATTTCTTAAAGACCAATTGGGTTTTGTTTACTATGTCACTCTTACCTGAATCAAAATAAATATTAGCCATTAAATAACTAAAGGTAATGATATATTTTAGCTATGTCCTTCAAATTAAAAGAATACTTTTGGTCTTACTATTTTACTATAGTTTAGTTTTTTAAGCTTTGAGCCAATCCATATGTTGTATGTACTTCAAAACCTCACCCATAATGACTTATATAATTTTAAGAGGCCGGCCACATAGCCAAAATCTTCCAAACTCCAAGGTTTCATAAGAATGGTATTCACAGGGAGAACATAGCATTAATTCACCAATGTCCAGGTCCTCGGCCATGTTCCTGGTGATTCCTTTGACTAACCGAGCTGAATAAGACTTTGAAATGAAACAGACAATATATCAATCACAAGAAATAAAAAGAACAGTAAGAGGTGCCAGGAAGAATACAAAAGAAGGTAAGAAACAGTTTCCTATTCTCAAAGAAACCCAATTGGATAACTTGGGAAATATGTAACTTGGTAATATTCTCAGCAGAGCGCAGCCTGGGTCCTGAGCCACTGAGGGAAGTCGGGGCCCCCTGAGCAGCTGCGCACTAAATACAGAGCTTGAGCGCAAAGTTATCTTTGGCCACATCACATTCATTCTAATGCACAAACAGCTAAAAAAAATTAAAAAGTGCAATTCCAAAAGCACTTCTGTGGATTCTACATAACAACCATGTGAGATTCAAGCTGGGATTTTACTGAAAATGAAAAATATTCTAATGGCATTAGCAGCTACCCTTCTTTTGAAGTGGCACCTGGTATGGTGAAAAGAGCATTGCAATAGAAACCAAAAACATCAGTTTTAGTCCTGCTTTTGCTATAAATCCAAGGTGTACAGCTCTGCAAAGGAGCAAAATCTATTTGCTAATTGAAGAGTCTCTTTCCCTAAGAGTTGAATTTTTCTCTTTAATGAAAAACACTCGTCCTTTCCCACTTTTAAAGTCTGCCATCATGGTAAAAAATGAATGTCTTCTTAGGTCAAAGTTGAAAATAAAAAATTAACTACCCAATCATGGGAAGATAAATGGTAATAAAATATTTATGTACTCTGGGCTGTCCCCAGTGATAGCAAGCCAAGGCTTCTATACAGCTGAAAGTTAAGGAATCCATGAATCTATTTTCCCCCAAAACTATCCCACAATTTTTTAAGATATATGACAAAGGTACTCTTAAATGGTAGGAACCATTGATTTTTGAAGATATGAGCATTTTTCTCCCCAGCCCCATTCTTACATTTCATTTCAGTCACCAAGCAACTTGTTGGATACTTATAACCTAAAAGTAATCACTAAATAATAGTATATAATTGTAAAGGTCCTTTAAACCTTGCAATTTCCTCTTCTCAGTTTACTATGTTTTTAAAGAAAACCAGTAAATATTAAACTGTTTGTTATAAAGTGATAGTCTTTGCATTTGCCTCCAATAATGCACAGTAGGCTTCAGGGAAAAAATGTTGCCCGTTGCTAGGGAAGAAAGTGAGCACACCGTACAATTATTCATGTGGCAAACACAGAGCTGTGGCTGTGCTTACGCTTTCACAGCGTCCTTAATCACATACAAAAGCTACCCAGTGGTGAGCGACAACAGTGGGCCATTTCAGCAAAAAGCAATGTGGAAGGTTGTTTCAGCCATGCTTTATGGAGCACATCTACATAGAAGGATTTCTATCGCACCTGACAATTACAATGTCCATTTTAACCAAGATGGAGTGTTTGGGTGGCAGTTTGTTTTTATCTCCCCAATACCACTAATTATTTGAAATAGTTCATTACATTCAACTCTCTGTTGGCCCTATGAAAGCATGTGGAAGCAGGGAAAGGAAGAGATAGAATAAATAAATAAACAGGATAGAATGCATTTATAAATCTACATACAGCTAATCTAAAAGCCTGATTTATTCAATCATTTCATCAGGCTCCTTCAGAGCTTGAGCTCAGGTTTTGCTTGCTTCGACATTTAGTTTTCATTAACCACCTACAGACAGGGAACTATTCAGTGAGGGGCTAAAGGGTGGGAACAAACATTACAAGAAAGGGCATCCAAGACATAGGTTGTTCATAAACATAATCAGCCCCTGAATAACTGAGAGTTGATTGTAATTAACTACCTACTAAAATTAAAATATATATCATGCCCAGAGCACACATCACTTGATGCCAAAAAGGGAAAAAAAAAAAAGTAAGACTTATTTCTTGAGGAATCAACACAAGACTTAAAAAGTGCATAACATTCCTGCATGCCATGCTTTACCCGAACCTTACCTAACGAGGATATCACCAGATAATTTATTAACCACATTATACCATGAGGCTTGCATCTTGTGGAATAGACTTGTACTTCAAAATTCACTGGAAAAATAGATTCACCATAAAAGAAGAGATTTCTAAGACAAGTCATATCCAACACATTTAAAATATAATTGAAAAACTATCAGAATAATTATATTTTTTATTGTTCTGACTTTATAATTTTTTCATTTTGTAAAATCTTTAAACTATTTTTCTGGATCACCTGACCCAATATTTGCAAGGTGTTCTATTTAGGAAAGTTATTCAGTGTCCACTATCAACCAGCACTTACTGAGCATTTCCTGTCTGCTAGGGTCTGTCACTGCTACTTTACTACACGTGAACATGTCTTACTATGGAAACTAGTGAATCATTTCGCATACTTTTTTATTTACTTTGTAAAGTAGCAGAAAATATTCTGGCAGCTGCCAAGATTTACATGACACAATATGCACATAATCCACGACGTAGGTTAAATGGCATCAACGAGCAGGTGTCACTCTATAGCTCCTTATATTTACACATGTATTAAGATGTATAGACTGTAAACAATGGACCATAGAGCCAGGAAATGAAACTGTCATGATTCCCTGTGTTACTCTATTTGCCCAACGAGTAGACACCATCTTCTAAGCAGACCTCTTTTTTTCTTACAGCCATGATGCCCCCCGATAGGCAGAGAAGCAAAGTCTAGCTCTCTCTTCTAAGGCTCAGCCACTGTTAAGATTACTTAAGTTTTTGGGACACAAATTCTAGCTGGAAAATTTCACTAAATTAATTTGAATTTGGTCTTTTTATAATCCTTGAGCACAACTTATACTACAAATAAATGCTTTTAACCTAGTACTTTCTATATTTATTAATATAAAAGATGTGAAAGACTGAAAATTCTATTTCCTCTTTATTTTATGGATTCTCTCAACTAATAAGAATTATTGCCTGTATGAATGCACTGTTTTTCTCTTAATTTTATATTTACATACATTGTCACCCTCGCTTCTCAGCTTCCAGAAGGGATGAATATAAAACCAGGACCCTTCATTTCCGGCAGCATCCAAGGACACGCGCATTGCATTCTTCTCCAGTAAAGCAGGCAACCTCTTGTTGACAGTCAGGTACTTGTTGCTTTTTATATGCAGTAGCTGTTGGGAAAAGACATGCATTACCACCTTACTGTTGGATCTACTCTGTTAAATACATATATACATTGATACATATATCATATGCCCACATAACATGGCTTGAGGTAGGGATTAAACAAAGCTCTTTTCAAATGCCAAACTCACTAACTGCAAGCTGACTTCTTTGGGTGTCTCCTCACGTCCACCCCCAGTTCTGCTTCCTAATGGAGTGGGCACATGAGGAAAACAAGGGGACACCTCTGACCAATTTTCATCTATTTACAAATAGAAGAAGAAAACCAGGCTTTCCGAAGGCAACCTGCAGGTTCCCATAAACCACATTCCTGCACAACCATGAAAACAGGATACATTAAACAAAACCCACAAAACTAAAACGATGGACTGACCCACTTAGTACTGATAACCCTCCCTGCCCACACACAGACCTAATCCCTCCTCTGTGCAACTTCCGCAAGAGGATGCTGAGCCTGCTCCTTCTCAGATGAGCGGAAAGGCACCATTTCTTGGATTTTTTTTTTTTCATTTCATGGACAAATTTTTCCAAAACATCATTTTACTGAGTAAAAAACCTAAAACAGATAACCTTCTTCTCTATTATCACAATCATTTCAAAAATGATCACTTTAATACTCACAATATAAGAAGGAAAATATCTCAAAATAGAGGGCAATTCATTAATTGAAAAAAAAATCAGCTTTCTGAAAAACTCATTATAATATCCTTGGTTCTCATTTTACCATAAGCCAATGAAAACCCTCATGGGCCAACACCCCTTCTTTGGGATCCATCATGTTAAATGGAGCCCATGCCTCAGCCCTACCTGACCATGCAAACATGTTCTCTTAGGTTCTTGACAAGAAACATAAGCCCCACTTGCTGGCAGTTAATATTAATCAAAACTTGGTTAAGAAAAACTCTGTTTATGGAGGATTGTCCAAGGGACATACAGCCCTAGGCATCACATAACCTGTCATTAGATTAACTGATAGATTCAGAGGCCTACAGACCAAGGTGCCCTCACCTTGTCCCATCACAGAGCTGCTTTGATGGCCGTATGCTCTGGCATTTTGCCATTGGCCAATAATAAAACACCAGGGGTATTATTTTTTAAACAGCTCCATGAAGTGCCTCGTTGTAGTATTTACCATAAGGAAGTTTTTAAGGCTATTGTTTACTATATTGAACAGTGTTCTCTTTATGAGTGCTCATTTAGGAACACCTCTTTGGTCTTCTTGCCAGGGATGTTTGTGTTTCTAGAGCTCTGCCTTAAGTCTATGTTATATTCCAACTATGGGAATGCTGTTAAGATATCACACTTCCCTTAGAGCTAAGTGGGCGACAAAAAGGCTTTGAGCCAAAGTTTACCAAGCTTGGCAACCTGGTTTTTATAAAGATGCTCCACTCCTGACTTCACCTTATTTGTTCAACCACTATTTTCCCTTTAACCCAGTTGCCTTGTTTATTTTTATTTTATTTTGTTCTGTGGTATTTCTAAAAATGCCTTACATTCTTTCTGGGGAAAGGTGGGGCATAGATTAACAAATTACCAAGTAAAAAGCTAGAAGATCTAAGTGAAACGCAAGAAAGGAATGCAGCTGAGATAAAATCAGTGTGTCCACTAATTGAAATAGATCTTCTAATAACAAGTCAAGGACGATTTCCACCTAAGAGTACAGTTTGAAAACTTTCCTCTCTCAATGAAATGAAAAACTAAAGGGTCACATGTTACAAGTTAGTCCCATTAACACTAAAGGACTATTTTATTCCAGGCCTTTAGAAATCGTGTTTCCCCGTATTCTTCCTTTTGATGTAATGACTTGTGCACACGTCTAGAGAAGCTCAGTTCTTTATGTGAACACAACAGTCGTACTCCCAAACACATAGAACAGTGTGCAGAATGTTAACTGGAAATATCACGACATCCATGGTTACCACCAAAGAATGAACTATTGTATGCCAAAATTTTAATGCTATTTGGCATTCCTACCAGATGCAAATTGCCCATAAAACATTCACCTCTTTTAAGGGAAAGTAAATCAACACTTACTTGAATGACATTACTGTATTTCACGATTTCTCCCAAAAGTTTCTTATTTTCTGATTCATTTTGTTTTTGTTCCAGTTCTGCAGCATGCTATAAAATGATTATCAAATATTCAGTGTGGAAACGTAGTAAACAGAGTACAATAACTGACAAAGAAATCAGGGTTTTTTTAGGAACAAAGAGAACCAAGAATACCACCATGAATAAAATAGGTTAGATGCTTCACTCTTGGTGCTTGGGGTGTGGGAAGGGGGGTGGTAATAATTAAATACATGATTATAATATAATGTGATAATTCTCTCAATTTAATGCTAACAAATATCTTGGTATGCTTTCATGTTGGAAATTTCAGAAAAGTACTAGTCTCTGTGGTCTTATAATTACTTTCAGAAGGAATATTGATTGCTAAAGAAACCAACCAAGAGAGTAGATGAATTTCAAAAGTCTCAAAATACAGTTTCAATTCTAAAAGTAACAGAAATTTCAATGACACAAATTGAGTCCTATTAAATTTACACTCAGCCCAAGTTAGAAACACCAGGCTTTATCTCTTTTTTCCAGTCTTTCAAAGAAAAATTAAGTACTGTGCCAAGTAAAATATAACTGGATTGACACTCCTACAGAGTTTCTGAACATTTTGATGTGAATCTCTGAATTAGTCTGGCACACCCTAAAAAATAGCAGCAAGAATGTATTGCCTACCTGCCAGGAAATCAGTAGTCACACCCTGTACCTTAAAAAGTCCCTTCCAGTCTCAGTGTGTTGTTACAACTATTCTAAATCTCTGTGTATTGAGGGAAATCACTAGGATACGAAACAGATCTTTTGTTATTGCTGCACCTGGCCTAGCCTAAGTCAGACAAATAGAAACCTGGCCCTTACCTGTAATTTCTTCAGCAAGGCTGCCTCTGTGTGGTTCCCTTGTTTGGCTTGCTTAGCTTTCCAATATTGTTTCTGGGCAGAATATCGATTCATAGGGCACACCTTGAAGAGGCAGTCTATGACAAAGCAACAACGAAAAACACTGTAACTAAGGGGACCAGCATTTCTCAGATTTTCCTTTAGCCCAGCACTGGAATCTTGGAATCCCCAAGAAGAGAGAACATTTAAAAGTCATCTAGCTCATCCTCCAGCCAACTCCTAAATTCCCAATATAACATCCTTTTTCAAAGATCTTTATAGACTGTGAAAATACTCCCTTCTTCAGTAAGTTTCTTAAAGGATACTTTAGGTAGCATAATTTATAAAGAAATCTAAACAAAGTGCATTATATTAAATGCACCTTTAAAATTATAATGGGAGTATCTGATCTCAAAAATTGAATAGAATGACATTAGTGACTTTCATTGCCTTATCTGACCCTGTGCAATTACTTATTCATGATATGAATCTTTGACAGCAAAGCGAGGCAAAAAATAGAAACAATCACAGCAGTCGCAAAAATCACCTTTGGGGCATCCATTCCCCAGGTTTCCACATACCTGGGACGAGTATGGTATGAGAACCTGAGACATAGTATGTTATAAGCGGTATGGGGCGGCGGGGAGAGCAAAAACAAACAAACAAAACTAAACCAAGATTAAAGTCCTAACACTACCACTCAATATCAAGAAAAGATATCATAATGGAATAATACAGTTAAGTGATATTGTTAAGTCAAAAAAGCAAAATATATTTTTCCTTTTAATGAGGAAAGTAGAAGCTTGACTAAAGAATTCTTCTATATGTTAATGATTTTGCATGTTTGTGGAATGGATTACAATTCAGAACAAAGGTCAATTCCCCATATTCTTTTATAAAGGAATAATGATATAGAAAATCCAAATGTTATTTTAATTTTCTCACAAAAATGTATGAATTCAATACAACAAATTTCTTTTGGTTGCTGTGTTAATATTTATGATCATTTTTCAAAGATATATCAAAAAATAAAATTCAATCGACTCTAATATTCATTTTAGCTACATTCTTTTTTTAAATGCAGATTGATTTTATTTATTTTTTTAAATGTCAAAGTTAATTATAAAACATTAAAAAATTTAAAACCATTATAAAGTCTCAGCAATTAAACTAGCATGACACCAGCACAGAAATAATCAAGTAGGTCAATGAAATATAATGAGTATTCTAGAGATGAACGTATGTATCTGTCTAACAATGTAATATATGATTAAGTTGATATTTCAAATCAATGGGTAAAATAAGGTTTTTTCAACAAATAAAGTGCATGGACTACATTCTTAACTATACTATACAAGCTCATTCTATTATTCTCTGTTAAAGTAACTATAAAATTAAACAATGGACTTGATCTCTTTTCAAACTTCATTTATTGTTATAATGGCATAAATAATCAAAAATTATAACTAAATTTTTAGAGGGACTTTTAAAGTTCAGAAGAAATAATGAGTTTTTGTACAGTTTACAATTGTAAATACAAATTCTATTGACTGACCTTCCCCAGCAAAAGCACACAAGGCTATAGAAAACTAATTATTATTTTATGATTTAAAACGTATTCATGTAGCTGTATAAGCATTTTATATAGTAGTAAAAAATAGGCACCTTCTTACTGCTAAAAGTAGGGCAAGAGGCCATCACAAATACGATACAAGAATCACAACTTGGCACATGTATGTGAAAACCAAATAACTAGACCTAAAAACTGTTTTTCCTGGCAACATATCTTATAAGCCCTCGAAGTTATTTCCTATATATTAGCAGCTACAAAGACATTGAACAAATTTTTTCCAGCACAAATATGGAGGTTGTTTACAGATATCCCCAAAAGGGTGCTCCCAATTTAATGCAGGCCATTTGTGACTATTCTATATCAGGCAAGTAACCTGGTAAACTAAAACTACATTGTTTTAGTGCAGCAAAAACACAAACCTTTAAGTAGAAATGAGCACTAATCTGCAGTCTACACTGCTGACCTCCATGTATGAAAAGAGAAAAATTAGGTTCTCCATTAGTTCAAATTTCTAATTGAGTTCCTTAGGAAATGCTCCTTTGACAGAGACAATATTTGTCCTAAATTCCAGGCCACCTCAGGAGCGCGCCTGACAGTGGTGTCTTCAGGTAGCTGGCAAGGAAAGTGCGTGTGTCATGATACAGAGCGCTGAGGCTGAGGTTATTGCGAAGTGGAGCCACACCTTCAGCCACCACAGGCTTACTGGCCAGCCAACCTCTGCAGCTGTGTGCTAATACTCAGACCCTCTCCTCCAAAAGCTCACAGCCTAGTGGGTGAGTCAGGGGTCCATCGAGTGTTCAAGTTTCACAATGAAACTATAGACAGGTGCTATAGGGCACAAAGATACTTGTGGCCAGCTTCACAAGGGAAGGCCAGGAAGCTTTCCAAAGGAGAACATACAAGCCAAGTTTTAAGGAACCAATACTAATTCAGCACATTGCCAAGGGGGTTCAAATGCTCAGGGGGGAGGGACATTCCAAAGAGAGCCAAGGGGATACACAGGCAGAGGAGGGAAATGCTGAGGGACCCACTAAGCTTGCATGGAAGCTGTGGTCCAGGCCGTGAAATGACAATGGAACAGTTTGCTGAAGTCAGGGTCTGCAGAGTGCTGTGTGCTGGGCTAAGGAGTATGGGCTACATCTCATGGGAAGTGTCAAACTTATCAACTGTTTTAAGCTCTTCCACTATGTGAAAGGTGATGTGAACAAACTGGTGAAAAGACCAGCACAAAGCCAGCGTGCTGAGACACAGTAAGGATCTGAAATTGGGCTGTATGGTAATTGCAGACCTCAAAGAAAACATCAGAATCAACAGGCTTAATGCTCTGTTAGGTGTGGGGCGGGGAGAGGTGCAGGAGAGGAAAAGTGAAGATGGCCACACGAACAAGCTGCCGCCCGCTCTATCTGAGATGCAAAACCTTGGACTTCAAAAGCCCTTTCTATTTGCAGGGCCTTAGTTTTATGGTCCTCTTCAGCAGCCTCACACAGGTGGCATCTCATTGTATATTACAGTGAATGACCAAACTGTTTTTCTGCATGGGAACTGCTGTTGCAGCACTATTTTGGGTGACGGGGTCGGGGCTGGGGTGCAGACGTAGGGCACACAGGCTTCTCTAAAATCGTTTTTGTCGATGGTGGTGGTAGGGATGGGGAAGGGTGTGCATGCATGTGTGTGTGTGTTATTTTCTCTGCCTCTTTGAGGAAAAAAAAATCAACTGGTCTTGAGGCAGTAGTGTATTTTGTCTGATTCTCAATTCATTGTGTAATAAAAGTATCAATAATACCTGCCATGCCTAATGCACAGGGCTCCTGAGATATGCACTAAAGATAACCTGTGCGAAGTACTTTATGAGCTTTAAAGCCCTATTATACGTGTAAGATATAATTATTAATGTTGCTTCATTTGTTCAGCAATAGCTTCACTAAGATTAACAGATAACTAAATCTTTACAAAGCTTTCAGCAAAAAAAAAAAAAAAAGCGACAAAAAGTAGAGCTGTCAAATTAAACTTGAACACAAACCAAAAGTACCCAATTCACATAGCCCCTTTCGTTTAAGATGCCACAATGTGTTTTGTATAAAATCCTCAAAAACCCTGAAACAGCATCGCAGTGAGCAGTGGATGCAACCTCCATAACCTTGAAATGTCTTTTAAAATGCGCAGACACCGTCATTAGCACCGTCACAGCGGAGCTCTGTACGGGCCTCCCACATTTGCCGGCAGGCGGGAGGCCAGCTGTCTCAGAGCCCTCCGCCCTCGTCCGCCCTCTATTGGCCCTCCTGGCTCTGCTGCGGGAACCACCTGCCCGTCCCTTGGCCTGCTCCTTCGCTAACATGAGGGGTGCGTACACTGCCAACAGATAGGTTTTAGCGGGGGTTCTAATCAGAAATCGGCCCCGCGTCACTTGTTAATAAGGTAACAACGATCTCTTCAGCATTTCAAGACTCAAAGAATAATCAAAAAGGAAACACTGACCTCATAGAGCAAACACCAAAAGCACAAATTAAAGTACTTTGAGTTAAATATTTTTAAAAACTTAACCAAAAGAGCTGAGACAAGAAATTTGCAGAATTACAGAAGTTCAGAAAAGTTAGAAATCTGACAAAACGTGCCACTTTCCGTCAGGCAATATTATAAGAGCAATGCCTTAGAATTAGAACTTTTTTTTATTTTTTTTTTTTTACAGCTATGGAAGGAAATTCATCCCCACAGAAGTGTTTACTTTAAACTGAAAGACTCAGCACCCTCTGTAGCCTGCTGATGAATGCTAGCGGAGGGAGGAAATATGACAGCCATTCGAATGGTGTGGAACATGAAATCCATGTCCTGGATCATTGTAAACTCCCCTCCCCTCACATGATCCTGGGTAAATCTGGCAGGAAACCAGTCTAAACCTCCACTTGCAATACCTATCTAAATAGCTTTGAAATGATTTTGCTTTCTATGTATAAAAACACTTTCTATGTATAAAAACACTTTCTAAAAACAGTTGTATCTAAGGCAGTTCCTGCCCCCAAGAACTGTCTATAGAGTTCCATTTGAGGCTATTATATGTCAAGTTCACACTACCCAAGGGCCAGCAACTTCCCTTGGTAATGGTGGAAGGAACACTTTCTGTTTCATTTCTCCTCCCTCCTAAGATTTCAATGAGGCAAGACATATTAAACCATCAGCAAGTGCCTGTCACAAAGCGGGCATTCAACAAATGGCTCTTTCACGGGAGCCTATAAAATTACCTCATACTGATTATAGGGTACATGGTTGCCAAGGGCTTTCTTAACCCCACGTGGAGAAAGGTGGGGAGTGAGGGGGCAGGAGCTTTTCTCTTTGTGATATAAACAGGATGCAGCAGACTTCAATGAAGACAATGGGACCTTCCCAGTGATAAAATAGAAAGTGGTAAGAACACTCCCCAGAGGGTTAAGGGTAAGGGACAGGCAGACAAGGGGCAATTAGAATTCAGAGTTGGTCAGAGAGAGGAATTCATCTTCAGCAGCCTGAAATATAACTACAGCTCTGTTTTTC